GGTAGGTTGACTAGGCTCCAGAGGATGGACCCATATTGAAGTGCATTTGGGGACACAAATTTGATGTAATAGGCCTTAAAATATATATAGAAAGAACATGAAATCCGGTAGGCATTAGTAAGGTGGGGGTGCAGGTAGGGGAGGAGGGTCTAAATATGATCAAAATGTATTGTATGAACTTCACATCAATTCAATTGAAGGAAACTTTTAAGAAGAAAAACCATCAAGTTTTAAAAGTCTAACATTATAATCAGATCTCTAAAGTGCATGTGCTATGTCTTTATTTTTAATAGAGTGCAAAAATTGCTTAACCTGCAACATGAACAGCAAACGTTACCTTTATTCACTTAGTAATTAACTATGCAATTTGAAAAAGGAAACAAATTTCCGTATTAACATTTTCAGTATATAGAACCATATAATTTTCTGTGATAATGTCTGATTAGATATGTATGATTACTAATTCAGGTAATTCTTGGCTTGCCATAAATTTTTATCTAAGTTAGCAGGGGAAAAGGAATTAGGCAAAGAAAGCATCAACCATAAAACCATTATATGCTGGGCAGATCTCAAGTTCAGCCAAGGAACTATTGGCAACTGATTACTGCTGGGTGAGGGGAGTTGATACTCTTTAAGAGAGTGACTCTAGGTAGACTGCCTAGACCCTAGTGGATGAACTGGCACCAAGGGACATTTGGATACAAAAGCTTGACTTGATAGGCCTTAATATATATGACAGAATGCATGAAATCTGGTGGAGAGATATGGGGAGGTGGGGAAAGGGATCTAAATATGATTAGGATTTATTGTATGAAATACACAAAAATTCAATAAAAATATACATTAACAATTTTTTTAAAAATTAAGTTTAAACACACATAGGCTGAAATAAAAGTGATAGAAACAGGTGTTTCATTTAAATGCTAAAGAACCCAGTAGTCATCATAGGTAGGTCAGACAAAATAGATTTTAAGACTAAAATGATCTATTGAAATTAAAATAATTATATAAGGAAGTTATAATTCATAAGGAAGCAAAAATTCATAATATTGAAATCAAGATCTTTTGGTCACCATTTAAAAGACCATGAACACAGTAACAAGGCTAGACCAAAGGTTCATAATCTGGGTCAGGGTCTTAGTGACTTTGTGATCTTGGGCAAATTCACCTTCTCTGCATCTCAGTAAATAGGAAATAATGGTATTTAGCTTGCCATTTTGAAGGTGAAAGATCATGCATTTTGTCAAGGGGCAGAGAGCCTGCATTCTCACTTTGGAGGAAGCTGTATGCTTTCCTTTGCATTACACTGTCATGAGCCACAGGAGTTCATCAGGTGTTACCTGCCAGTCATGATGAACAAACCCATTCCCTCTTCTCCTTCTGTGTGCTCTGTCTGCACAGTTTGAGAGATTCTAGCTCAGAGAAGGTGGAAGCCTCTTCCAGCCCTCCCAGATGACTGCTGCACCTGCATCCTTCCCCTCACACCAATGACCAGCCCAAACTCATTGCCATGTACACCCATAATAGACAGCCGTTTAGTTAATGGAGGTGTCTAGCCAGAAGCAATGTGTGCAGTGAAGAGCTAATGTACACTGGCAAGTTTTTCAGTGACAAAGGAGCTCCACATCAACCTCCACATGAACACTGAATGTGTGGTTGTGCGACGAACGTTCTCAGCAAAGAAAAGGAAAACTTTGCAGAAATACTTAGGAGGAGTTTTGCTAAGATATCTCAAATTGTCAAGTATAATCATAGTAATAACAGCTTTCCTGGAGTCTGATAACAACTTCCAAACTATAATGACTTGACTTCCCATCCCTGCAATCCCTTACAAATTAGACTTAGTCACCTTACATGGATTGATGGTGTTGAGGTTATTTATGACTCTGAATAGTCACATGTCATGGTACCTTAGAGCCTTATATCTGCAATGGGAGTCACTAGGTTGAGAAATATGAATGAATCTCCAAAGTTAACTACAGAAAATCAATTTTTAGCTCTTGTTCAGGTATTTTTATGATGATGATTCAGGATATACATTTGTAGCACAAAAATAATTTTGCCTCATTCCAAAATAGATTTTACCATATGGATGATAAGAATCTGGAAATCATGAGGACTAGGACTGTTGAAGAATGATCTTATTCTAGATAAGAACTAAGAACTGGGAAAGATTTGTACAAAGTAACTTACATACTGACACAGTTAAGGGAGATTGGCTCTGGTCTGAAGCTGTCCAGGAGTCAGAGCCTGGATCTTAAGAAACAGAGAGAGGTAAGCATGGGTTTATAACAAGGCAGAATATTGGTAACGGGTGAATAGTCTTTTTAGAGGGAGACAGTCTCGTTAGGAAATGAATTTAGGCCAAGGCTGAAGATGACCTGTAGTCAGGAGACTGACCAGGAGACAGTGAATGAGGCTTTTACCCCCAGAGAACCTTGAGGGTCAGGTGAAAAGTAAATCATACAGGGAGGCAACAAGAGCCCTGGTGTAAATGCAAATTATCTCAACATGTCATGGCTGCATGACCTTTCTAACACTCAAATCTACTCTGGAAAGTGGGAATCGAATCAGTTAAAGTGGAGACAACTTAAAGAATAGTGCCTGACACAAAGCAGATGCTCAGTAAATGTCAGCAGTACGGGTATCAGTCTTCCTGGTACTTTTACAAGCAATTAGGGCCCACCTGAACAGAGGCTGGTTTTTAGGGCTCAAAAGCCCTATAAATCAAGACTACAGGGATTTGGGAACAAACATGAACATATATGGTATGAATCGTCTTCAACTTTAGATAGTTACATCATTGTGAAGCTGCATTCTACTCAGCAAGTACTGATGAAGAGGACACGATCATACAGTCAAGGACAGTCTGGGGACATAGTACCTTGGGTTTGTTTGCTCTCCGTTATTGTCTGAAGTGGTCTCCACAGACTTGGATGTTGGTCGGCCTCCTGTGATCACGTCTCCTACCTGAAATAAAAATATGACATGTGTAGACTAAAGAAATACTCCCTAATACCTTTAAAAATAAGCATTATAGTTATATATATATGTATTATATATACATTAAAATAATAAAATATAATTCTCTCTATACATTCCATGAAAGTGTCATAATTTAAACCTCTCATCCATTTAAACCTGCTATCCATAACTGTCTTGCAAAGCCTCAAGCAATCCAAAGATTGCCAAAGCCAAGCATGCAAATTTGGTGAATTAATTATTTAACTATATTTTATCTGAAAGCCAAAAGCATGTCAGCCACTTTAAGAAAGTGTTGGGAACGTAATGCCAATGTGACAAGGAGCTGCCTGTGCAGTGCTCTCAAGGAACATGCAGCATGGAAAAGCACCCTGGGCTGGGGCTTCTGTCTCCCTCTTGCCAGCCAGACCTGGATGCTTCCTCTAGGAAATCATGAAGGAAACAGATTGTGATCTCTAAGGTCCCTGCTGGCTCTGAAAATTCTGCAATCCCATTACTTCCTTTATGTTAAATAAGTTCAGTGTCAAGCATGTTGATTTCTCAATAAATAAAGTTGACTAATTCCATTCAGCAAACAAAGACTATTCAAAGGCAAAGAGAGGGCAGCTAATTGTGCCCTCCAGAAGTGTATAAGCCATCACAGTGTAGAGGAAGAAGGGAATTTCTACTACTTATCAGAACACAACTATTGGATAAGCCTAAACCTACCAATGTTATTTATGTTACATGCTATTTATAAATCCCTCCACTCTAAGGCAGGGATTATTCATAGGCAGACAGGGGAATTTAAAACCTTCTCTTTGTATTGCCTAGGTCTGATGACTCATGTGGGGGAACCTGTCCTTTCTGGTCAAGTACCCTGGAGGGACATCATTCCTCTCTCTCCTTCATCAGCTTTCTTTAGCAGAAGGGAGACTCACTCTGGACACATCTCCCAGGCACAGGCACTCAGGTCGTTTTTCTGAAAGGTGATTACCACCTGCCATCTTTTTCTGTACCCGAGGCTTAGTGTGCTATACATCTGTGATCAAGGACCATGCAATAGGCTAAGGGAAAAGCTTAGGCTTGGACTTGGAGGACCTCTCACCACCTAGTGCCACCTGCTGGCTCAGGCGAGCACACAGGACTCCTTTACCTTTGGGAAGGGAGTGGGTAGCCTGGTTTAACCTCAGTCCTAAATTTATACAAGCTGGACAAGTAACCAAATTAATAAACGGATTGTTTTTTCTCATTTGACTGGAGATTTGGTTGGCTTACTCCACAGAGCTCAGTGAGGGGCGGGTCAGGCCTCGATTAGGCCTGTATCACTGAGTTCCTCCTCTTGATCCTTGGGCACTCATTGATATTTTGCATATTCATTTATATCCTAGAATCTGGTTGGGTTTTGGGGGGGAGGGGTACAATGATTTCCAGAGCACTTTTATATTTTTTAATATTTTCATTACTTTAAATGATATCAACATGAATTAAAATATCAGCCTGGTGGTAGGGGGATATGTTTTCTGTTGCTTCACATTGTAAGCAGGCTAACAAGAATGGGAACTCACACATGCATAATTAGAGCCTTAAAACACCCCATTTCTAACACTGTTATTTGTCACATATTAAGCACAGAGATTCTCTGTGTTTATGGAAATGCAAATAGAGTCACAAATTTGGAACTTTTCTTCACAGGGAATTTGCTATGCACCAGAATCTAAATGTGCTTCTTATTTTCAAAGGATATTTTCAGTACAGTTAGTTTCAAAGATTCTTTTAAATTTAAAAGTTACAGGGAATTAAGAGATCGCAGTGAGAAAAAGTGTACCTTGGCTTTTGTATTAACCCTGGGATTCATCTTCATACCAACATTGACATTAAGCATAGATAAACCCATCAGATATGATCTAACTGGAGCTCAGGGCTATAGGGTAGGGAACTCTGAGGTTTACAAGTCTTAACACTGGGTTTCCCATGACCTTGCAGTGTGGGGCTGCTTTTCCTCTAGGTATTGATGCTCATTAACAAGCAGCCTTACTCATTTGTCCTAAGTGTGTTTAGAGATGACTAATGGAAAAGTTGTAAGGGCCAAAATATGTTCAATAAATTAGATAATGTGAGACTAATGGTTTCCTGAACCCACAGAGAGAAATGTAATCAAGTACTTGAAAATTCAATTGTGGGACAGACACAAAGGTACAAATTAGCATTTTAATGATGTTGCATTATTTTAACTCTCAGAGGCTTGAACCTGGAAGTTGGGAGTGAACACGGAAGCAGTGACAGCCTTCAGTTTTCCTTCCAAGGCTTTTCTGAACACTGGCTTGCCAGCCTTTGATTGGTAGGGTGGCCTGAGTGGGGCTCTCATTACTCACTGAGTAAAGAGAGCCTGCCCTTAGGTGATCTGTATGTTTCTTATATATGGCTACTTTACTAATGTAAATGATTCAGAGCCTAAGAAGTGCCGACTATGTGAGTGGTGCAGCAGTTATAAAAGAGAATGAGCTCTTAATCTACTTTTTTATATTGAACCATAGAAATGACCGATATGTGATGGTTTTCCGTGCTTCAAAGAGTGATCTTATATGATTCAACTTAATAGTTACTTATATGGATCTAAAAAATGAGCTAACAATTATATTGCCTGTTTTAGGTGAAAACTTGTTTGTGATTTTAAAGGAATGATGATGTCAGACCATCGCATACACTTGGCAGTGCTGTAGCACTAAGCTCCATCTCCATCCCTCGCAGACTTTACACTAGACACTGATTTGCTGTGCTTATCAAATCTTGAGGTACCTTTAGAAACAGAGTTCAACACCTTATTAGAATCTACAGAGAGTCATTTGGGAATCCAGATGTTCAACAAACACTTTCTAGGCAATTCTTGGGCTCAGGCAAGTTTTTAATCTGCCCTGGATGATGCTCTAGCTTTCAGGCTTTTCTGGTTGTTGTGGAAGAGGGGTGAACTGGGGTGTGAACCCTAGCTTTCCGCATGCTAGGCGAATGTTCCAACACTGAACTGTGACCCATAGTTTTATACTTTTCTGGGTAGAATTCATTTCTAGAACTCATATTTATGGGATGTCTACAGCATTCCAGGAACTGATCTAGGCGCTAGATACTGTGAAGCTAACAATTGTCTCATGCGCCATTATGTGCCTACACTCTTCTGAAATCTTTGTTTATGGAGATACACATTGTTTCCAATTTTACATAATTATATCATGGCATCTATGTATCAATTAAATTTATATTATTTATTTACTTTTTATAGAGTGTCCAAAATTACAATTCTTAAGTCATAATATGCATTTTAAGGCTTGATAAATGTTGACAATTTTATTTTCAAAGGATTAGATCATTTCCTATTTCCTAAAACAATTTATGAGTACTGTTTCATTGTACTCTTACCAGCACTGAATTTTAAAAAATGTTCCTGATAGAAAATTGGCAGTGGTGTTTGCTTCTGAAAGAGCAGGGCAGTTGAGGAAGAGAGGGGGAAGGATGGTATGCTTTGCACTATAAACAACGTAGTACTTTTGAATCTTGTCCTGTAAAAGCATGCTCATGTAAATAAGAAGCATAAAGTTTAAAAGTTTGATAATCAGATGATATAGTAGACATTTCTCATGTCTTTGCATTTCTTTTACCATTATAAATTACAGTTTTCTTTTTCTTTCTTTCCTTCTCTTTCTTTCTTTCTTTCTTTCTTTCTTTCTTTCTTTCTTTCTCATTTTGCTTTGCTATTATTCTTTTAGCTGTAGCCCCAGCAGGCCTGGAACTCACCGTGTAGACCAGGCTGGCTTCAATCTCATGGAAATCCTCCTGCCTCTGCCTCCCAAGTCCTGGGGTGAATATTTTTTGAGACAGAGTCTCCCTGTAGCCCCAGCTGGCCTGGAACTCACTACGTAGACCAGGCTATACTTGAACTCAGAGATCCGCCTGCCTCTGCCACCCAAGTGCTGGGATTAAAGGTGTGTGCCACCATGCCCGGGTAATTTCCAATTTTCTAATAGGGTTTCAATAGCATCTGAAGCATTCCCTTTCATGATTGTATGCATGCTATTTCTTCCTTGATCTCTTATGTTTTTCCTGTCAGTGAGACAAGTAACTGAAACTAAATTGCTTATGTATTTATTCCATGTTTTGACTCCACTAAAATGAAAAGTTCACATGGACGGAAATATCTGTGCAGGGCACATACTAGGTCCTTAATAATTTTGTTGACTATTGGATAAATTTAAATGAACAAACACTAAATTGTAGCTTTCATATAAGTTTTAAATATTAATCAAAACTGATGTTTTGGGGGGGATGGGTTGAACACTGCTTCATATTTAGAATACATTTCTCTACAGAGAAGGAAGATATATAACTTCATTTCTTTATTAAAATAGCTAAATTAATATTAGTTTATTAAATCTATATAAATGTATTTTGATGTATGGGGTAAAATAAGATCACAAATAGATTTTAAGGGGGTGGGAGGCCTGGAGAGATGGCTCAGCACTCGCTGCTCTTCAGACTGAGGAGCTGAGTTTGGCTTCCAGCACCCACATCAGGTGGCTCATAATCACTAGTAACTCAGCTCTAGGGGAATCCAATGCCCTTGTCCTTTTCTGGTCTCCTTAGCACTGCACACATGTGGAATGAACACCACACACACACACACACACACACACACACGTTGTATAAAGATTATGTCCCAAGTTGAAAATATCCCCAATGTTTATATGTTCATTTATATTTTTATTATGTCTATCAAATACATTTATCCATTAAATTTTAACCAATGACAGTTTTTATTTCAAGGAGCTTATGTTCTAGTGGAAGGGGGAAGAGAGAGGGTTTCGGATCCTAATATTCTCAAGGGCCCTAGTGATGCATCTCCCTTTCATTAGGCCGTACCTCAACAGTAACATGGGCTAGAAACCATGCCTTAAACACCTGAGCCTTTGACGGCTAATCAAGGTGCAAATGAGCAATGACGAGACTGTGTTCTACTA